TCGGGTTGAATGGGCGTCCGCAGCCTGGCTGGCTGAGCAGGGTCCCTCCCTCCCCAGGGGGACGTGGGGGCGGTCGGTCCTCCCAGGGCTGACCTCGCTGCCCTCGGCCGCCTGAGCGGGGCGGGCCGGCCAAGCCTTGCAGCCTCGCCTCCCCGCCAGCCTCCCGGGGATCCGGAGCTCGCGGGGAGCGGCATCGCGCCGCCCGCCTCTCCCCCCGGCCTGGAGTCCCCGGCTCATCCCTTTTTCTCTCTCGTGTGCCTGCAAAATCCCTGTCAGTGAAGGACAGTCAATACCATTTGGCCCTAAGTCGTCCTGCCGGGGCTGCCTCTCATGGTATTTAACAGAAAGCGGCTCTGGGAGCGCGTCCCCGGTGTCTGCCGCTGCTCCTTCCCTTTACGCACAGACACGGTTTGATGGTGTGGACCGAAGGCACAATTGCGGTCTCTTCTTGTTTGCACGAGGAAATGTAATCAGAATCCCCAGGAAAAGGAAACCAACGAGGAATGGGTTGCACTTTCTTTTACTTCTTGTTTGCCTTCAGATTAGAACACAACTTCGTAGATTACATATGCTATGGGCATCTTTTGTTGTAATTCAGACTAAGGAGACTGCTTTTGAAGAAATAGATTAGCCGCTTCTCTGTCGAGTGGGAGGCCATGGAGATTTTTGATAGCTTCTTAATATGAAAGTTTGCTTTAGAACTTTGCCATCATCAGTGCTGTTCTGAAGGCAGCACCAGCCTGAAATTTTAAATATATGCTGACTGGGGACAGATGCGTTTCTTTGTGCTTGTCTGTTGGCATCCTACTCTTGCTGTTTCCGTGGTCAAAACGTACAAATAATAAAAACGAGTACAATAAAAAGTATAGATAATAAGAACAAATACCATACAAACAAATGCATCTGGAAAATCTCAATTCTGTCAGTGGGGAGGCAGTTTTACTAATCCCTTTGAAAGGATGAAGAACAGGCTCAGAGATCTCATGGATTATGTAGTGGACAGGGTCTCAGGGCAGGAACTGGGGCCATGGACCGAGCAAGGCCAGCTGGTTTGTTCGTGCTAACCCTAACCTCTAAAATAGGAGGAATGTGTTTGTTGGGATCCTTTTATTTTTAGATGACTTAAGGTGCAGGAGCTTAACCCCCCCTCAAAGTTATGAAATCTACCTATCTCTGGCAACAAGATACTATGTTTTTGTTTTCATTTTTGTAATAGTTTACTTGAAACATTTATGTTGTTTTGATGAGTGTCTGCTTATAACTAAAAAATATATATTTAATATTGAGTTCTTTCTGTAGGAGGTTTAAGAAACTTTTAAGTAATGTAAATTGAGAAATGAGGGACACTGATTTAATGATGGCATTAAAACTATTGAGCACTCATTTAAGTAGCTCCAGGAAGGAGGGTTTCTGATAGAAAGTTAAAAAAAAAAAAAAAGGTATTTCTTTATCTAAATATGTATCTATTGGAATTGCTAGGCACATGGTACCTTCACAAAACTCTTATTATTATTCTGCCTGAGTAAGAGAGGAAATGAACAAATTTTTGATGTTCTTTAGAACCCGGTGGATTGTTCAGATACAAAGCATTGTGAAATAGGGCATAAAATGAGTGGTAGCAAGTTAGTTCTGTGAAATGTTTGTCCCTCAGCATTTTTTTTTTTTTCTGTCACAGTTGACTAGCAAATTCTTTTTATTAATGCTTATCTAATATTGGTGGTAGAACTCTGCTTAGATTCTTTTCCCCAAATGCCTAGATTGAGGCAAACTCAAATCTCCTGTAAGAGGTTAAGGAGGAGGTGCTGGTAAATTCCTCTACTCTGACTCATCTTTTTAATTTGCTAGATTTGTGAATTACAGAGAGTTAATTACGTGAGGTTTATATTACATGAGGTTTCTATTACTCAGTTCTAATTCCACTGCCGTAGAGCTGAAAGATCATTCCTTTCTGAATGGCTCCTCTTGCTGGTGTGTTTCTCAAAGTCTGGACCTCAGATCACTTACATCACCGTTAACTGAGGTCCTTGTTAAAAATAGAGGTTTTTGTCACCTCACTTCAGAATCAGACTCCTAGAGGTGGGGCCCTGGAATCAGTATTTCCAACAAGTTCTCCAGGAATTTCTCCTGCACAGTAAAGTTGGAGAACCGCTGACATTATGCTTCCTTCTCACTGGGCATCTCTAAGACCATCTGCTGAAGACGATAGTGAGTTTTTTCAAGTGACAGAATAAGTTTTATACCTTGGACTGCTAATAAAAAACTGATGATGACCTTCACCTATAATATACGTTTTAGAAGGGCAGAGACTTGGGTTCATCCTTGTATCCCCAGTGCCTAGAATAGTACCTGGAGGAACTGCATGAAATATTTGAGTGAACTACGTTGCAGTGAGGCCACATTTATAAACCCTTATTTGTAAAATTAATCTTATCTCTTAGTAGTCACTGATTTTATAAATTAGGAGCCAAAAGTACTATACCCCCAGTGAATTCTGTAAGTGGGTTGGCTCTGAAAGGAGCATAGAATGCTCAAGGTGATAAGCTGGAAAGAAGGCTCCTAGCAAGATGTTTGCTTAGAAACTCAAAATGTAACTGTAAGTCACAGTATAATGGTAAATTACTGTGCTGTCACTATATCAAAATACCATTTTATAAGCTATGAGAAGCCCAGCATAATGCTATAAAAATTGATTTCCAAAAAATATAGAAAATGGGTGTTTTGCAATTTCATTTTTCATAGTAATAAAATATGACCTCCACTCCCTTCTTTCAGAGTCCAGCTTAGGGCCCCATAAATAACAGCTTCTATTCTGTGGTTGAGGGTGCTGGATAGTGAAGAGCACAAACTCTAGAGAATATTGGGTTTGACCACACATAGTCTGTGCCTTTAGTCTAGTCACCCACCTCCCAGTGCCTCAGGTTAAATACTTCTGAGTGTTTACATAAGTTCTTTAGACACGGTCATTTAATAAATGGTAGTTAGGATGACAGTAAAGAATTGGGATATATAAAAATATATAAAACTCAAAAGCTAACCTATTTAATTTTTGTGCTACTGCACTTGATGGTAGTAAGTAGAACTTCATTGCTTAAAAAAGAAGTCTCTTGCTAATTTCTTGATACTAAATATGTATAATTTTTTAATTGGATAACCAGAGTAAACATTAAAAGTATTTAATAAACCATCAAATATTATGTAAATATAAATTTTTTCTAAATAAAGGTAAACCTTTCTATCACTTTCAACTTAGTTGTATTATTTCAGAACCAAACTGATAATCAGTTTATGATGATCAGCTAATATTGCTTGTATTGTAAAGAATTGTATGTTTATGGTAGAAAAATTGAAATATAGAAAAGTTAAAAGTAGGGCCAGCCCCATGGCTTAGCGGTTAAGTGCGTGCGCTCCGCTACTGGCGGCCTGGGTTCGGATCCCGAGTGCACACCGATGCACCTTGTCCGGCCATGCTGAGGCAGTGTCCCACATACAGCAACTAGAAGGACGTGCAACTATGACATACAACAATCTACTGGGGCTTTGGGGAGAAAAAGGGAAAAAAAAAGGAGGAGGATTGGCAATAGATGTTAGCTCAGAGCCGGTCTTCCTCAGCAAAAAGAGGAGGATTGGCACGGATGTTAGCTCAGGGTTGATCTTCGTCAAAAAAAAAAAAAAAAAAAAAGTTAAAAGTAGAAAACTAAAATATTTGTAAGTCCACTACCTGAGTACATATCTCTCCAAACTCTTTTTGTGTGCCTGTGGCTATTCATATACAATTTTTGGTAATAAATGTGGGATCCTGCTATATGTATGATTGTTTTATAACGTGCTTTTTTTTTTTGCTTAACATCTTATGAATCTTTCCATGTCTATATTGTCAGTTATAATAGTTTAGTAACTGAATACTATTTCATTTTATGGATCTGTGGTAATTTAACCAGTTTATTTTTATTAGGCATTAGTTTGTTTCTTTTTCCTCCCACTATTATCAATAATTCTGCAGTGACTATCCTCCTACATACATCTCTGTATATACTTGTGAGGTTTTTTTTCCTTAGGATAAGTTTCTAGAAGTGGAATTGCAGGATCAAAGTACATGCTCAAGTTTTAAGGTTTTTGATACATATTTGCAGTTTGTCATTTAGAAAGATTGTAGCAATTTAGACTCTTGGCTTTGCATATGAGAGTTCCATTTCTCTCCCCCTCCTTTTTTTAGAATAATTTAACTAGTGACAAACCTCATGAATTTTTTTTTTTTTAGGAAGAAGGATGGGATGTTAATGTAACCTGTTTAGTAGTGTGATATGGAAAGTCAGAAAATTCATCCACCTGTAATAATGATAGCTAACATTTATCAAGTCCTTTTGCAGCATTTTATAAGCATTAATTTACTCTTCACAAAACTCTAATTTTTTAGATTAATATGCCTTGGGAACTGAGGTACCAGCAATTAAGTGACGTAGAGCCAGCAAGTGGCCCAGCAGATGTGTAACTAGAGCCCAAAACTCTTAGCCACTGCACTGGACTGCCTAGTTCCTGGACGTGTTTTGTAGGCGTTGGGGTACTTTATGCATTCCTGATTTCTGTTTCAGAATAACATAGAGGCTCCCTGATGTGTATTAATTTATAAGTTAGGTGGGGGCACAACTTGAATCCCTCTCACTAAGAAGTTAGTCACATAAGTTAGCTCACAAATAGGCCTCGTCTACTGTCTAGGATTCAT